GACATAGCTAGGAATGTAGTAATGACAATGAGTCTATTAACCTTCCCTGGGGTGGATAGAGTCTGGGACCTTTACCTGGGATTCTAGAACTTAACTTCTGCATAGCTTAGAAGGAGATATACTACAGAGGATAAGTGGAAATTTAACTGAGATCATGGCTTCACTGGAGCCATAATCCTGGCTTGATATTCATGTAGTTTATGGGTTTTTCAGACATGTTGCTCTTCTCAACTCAACCATGATCCTGTAATCAATTCTTTTCTTGTGCTCCTCTAGCCTCTTCAATTCATATTATTATTCATCTGTACATGGGTAAGATGATTGCTGTCACTCAGCCTTCAGAAGAACTTTCTAATCTTTGCTGTACAGAACACTTCACAGGCCCCATTTCCTCTTCTATCAGTGGTCTTCAGTCAGTGACTCCTACTTGTCCCAGGGAAACAAGGCAATGTGCAGAGAGGCTAGGTGCCATCACAACTGAAGTGAGGAAGAAAAGGTGAGTGTCCTCTTGTGTTTGATTGTGAACAAGAAGGGAATGTCAACATTGCTACCCAAGTACGGAAAAGCTCTCTAGAGCAAGGAATGAATCCTGGTAAAGAATGACTATGAGAACCGTGACAGGAAGAAGATCACATGGGTACAATTGCAGTCATTCCATCAGTGAAGAGCAAATCTTTCTTAGTTCCTGGGTCACAGCTATCAATTACATGACTTGAATCAACCCTAATGAAACTTTCAGTTGTGAGTCTTGTTTATGCAGTGCTAGCAGATGTATATCTTGTATTGCTTTAAGAATCTGGTTAATATCAAATAGTCTTGTAAAAGGGACCTTTGACTAGAGGTATTTCTTCTTATAGTCTTGATGATATGTTCAGAAAGATGAATTAATAACAACTACCACATTTATGTTTTGAAATGTAAATAAAGCAAATTTATTCAAATTCATCCTGAATGGTGTAAATGTCTCCAGTGATAAATGGCAACATGTTTGAGAGTGTACTGTGTTTATAATTTGTAGAGTAAATTCACACCAGAAACATTTGTCTTTCAAAAGTTAAGGTGGTGTAAACACTGATAATATTATTTTCAGCAATACCACTCTTGGACATATATGCAAAGCATGCTCAAACACATCACAAGAACACTTGATCAACTTGTTCATTGCAGTGTTATTCATAATAGCTAGAACCTGGAAACAACCTAGATGCCCCTCAGATGAAGAATGGATAAAGAAAATGTGGTACATTTATACAATGGTGTATTACCCAGTGTAAAAAAAAAAAGGCAATAACATCATGAAATTTGCAGGCAAATGGATGGAACTAGAAAAAATCATCCTGAATTAGGTAATCCAGACCCAGAAAGACAAACATGGTATGTAGACATCCATAAGTAGATATTAGATGTAAAACAAAGAATAACTGGGCTACAATCCTCAGCCCCAAAGAAGCTAGGTAAAAAGGAAGATTCTAGGAGGGACACATGGATCTCCCTGGGAAGAGGAAGTGGATGAAATATCCTGGATAAACTGAGTGTGGATGGGTAGAGGGGAAGGGATGGGGATGAGATCATGAGGAATCGGTGCGGTTGAGTTGGGGGCAAGATACAGGAGGAGAGCAATGAAAGAGATATCTTGATAGAGGGGACCATTATGGGTTTAGAGATAAACTGGTGCCAGGGAAACTCCCAGGTATCCACAAGGATGACCCCAGCTAAGAATCTAAGCAGTAGTGGAGAGGGTGTCTAAACTGTTTTTCACCTAAAATCAGATTGGTAGCTACCCTAATTGTCATCACAGAGCCTTCATCCACTAACTGATGGAATCAGATGCAGAGATCCACAGCCAAGCACTGGGCCAAGCTCGAGGAATCCAGTTAAAGAGAGAGAGGAGGAATTATATGAGCAAGAGGGGTCAAGATCATGACGGGAAACCTACAGAGACAGTTGACCTATTCTTGTGGGAGATCAAGGATTCTGGACTGACAGCTAGGGAATGGGCATGGAAATGACCTAGACCTTCTGCATGTGGGTGACACTTGTATAGCTTCGTCTTTTGTGAGGCCCCTAGCAGTACTAACAGGACCTGTCCCTGATGCATGAGCTGGCTCTTTGGAACCTTTTCTCTATAGCGAGATGTTGTGTTCTGCCTTCAATTGTATAGTGGGAATGGAGATGAGAGCTTGAGGGAACAGGATAGTCAAGATGGAGAAAGGACAGAGATGAGAGAAAGAAAAGAGATATTTTGCTTGAGGGAGCCATTACGGGGTTAGCAAGAAACCTGGCACTAGAGAAGTTCCCAGGAATCCACAAGGATGATCCCAGCTAAGACCCTGAGCAATACAGGACAGGGTGCCCAAATTGGCCTTGCCCTGTAGTCAGGTTGATGAATACCTTAAATATCACCATAGAACCTTCATCCAGCAACTGATGGAAACAGAGGCAGGGGTCCTCAGCTGAGCACTGGACTGACTTCCCAACGTCCAGTTGAAGAGTGGGAGGAGTGAGAATATGAGAAAAGAAGTCAAGACCATAATGGTGACATCCACTGAAACAGTTTACACGAGCTAATGTGAGCTCACCAACTCCAACCGGACAGGGCAAAAACCAGCATAGAACCAAACTAGTCCCTCTGAATGTGGGTGACAGATGTATGGCTGGGGCAGACTTTGGGGCCATTGGCAGTGGCACCAGGATGTATCCCTACTACTTGTACTGGCTTTTTTGGAACCCTTTCTCTTTGGATGGATACTTTGCTCGACCTAGATATAGTAAGGAAAGCTTTGGACGTTCCCCCAAAGCAATGTGTCTGCCCTCTCTGAGGAGTGGATGGTGGGCTGGGAAGGTGGAGGAAATAGGAGGAGGGGAGGGAGAAGAAACTTGGATTGGTATGTATAATGAAAAAAAAAAGATAGTTTTTTTTAAAAAAGAAAGAAAATGAATGAAATTATTTAAAAAAGAAAATAATTAAAATGAAAAAACAGTAGCAGCAAGGGATAACAATGACAGTAATTAATAATGATAATGATGATGATGGTGATGATGATGATGATGATGACAGTTTTACAAAAACCCCAAATCTGGGGTCCATATTTAAGAACTTGAGATCAGAAGCTGAAAATTAGGTTCTAGGCTCATGGTTTTACAACCAAGCATTCCTAGTTCAGAATTGTGAGCAAGCCCACTCTTCCCAGCAAATGTAGTTTATGGGTTGTATATTGCGTGCTATAAGCCTCCGGGGCCACAGTATGCGAGAAATTCAGTGCGTCAATGAATGTGAACACAGAGTCACAGTATTTGTAATAAAATTTATTTCTATTCTCATCTTTAATCACTGTGCTTTCCTTTAGTCCCCATCGTGGGCTGGGCATCTTAGAACTTTTCACTATCCTAAGTAGTCCATTAAGCTTTTACAATTTTTGACTGTTAACTTGAAGCTCTAGATATTTTAAATAAAACATACTTAAGAAAATATATTTTTTCTTTCTTTATTGTTTTTGAGTTATATATTTTTCGCTGCCCCTTCCTCTCTCCTCCCATTCTACCCTCTCCCATGATCCCCATGATCCCAACTTACTCAAATCTTTTCTTTTTCTACTTTCCATGTAGATTAGATCCATGTATGTCTTTTGTAGGGTCCTTTTTGTTGTCTAGGTTCTCTGGAGTTTGTGAATTGTAGGCTGTTTTTTTTCTTTATTTTATGTCTAAAAGCAATTGATAAGCAAATACATATTATATCTGTTTTTCTGGGTTACCTCACTCAATATGATGTTTTCTGGATTCATCTATTTGCCTGTAAATTTCAAAATGTCATTATTTTTTCCTGCTATGTAGTACTCCATTGTGTAAATATACCCCATTTTCCTTATCCATTCTTCAGTTGAGGGCCATTTAGGTTGTCTCCAGGTTCTGGCTATCACAAATAAAGCTGATATGAACATAGTTGAGCACACCAAAATAAACAAACAACTCAAGAAACTTGTCATCAAAGGAACAAATAATCCAATTTAAAAAATAGAATACAGACATAAACAGAGAACTCTCAACAGACAAATCTAAAATGGCTAAAAGACACTTACAGAAATGTTCAACATCCTTAGCTGCCAGGAAAATGCAAATCAAAACAACTCTGAGATTTCATCTTACACCTGTCAGAATGGCCAAGATCAAAAACACTAATGATAGCTTATGCTGGAGAGGATTTGGGGTAAAGGGAACACTCCTCCATTGCTGGGGGTACTGAACACTGGTACAGCTGCTTTAGAAATCAGTATGGTGATTTCTCAGAAAATTAGGGAACAACCTACCTCAAGGCCCAGCATTACTACTTTTGGGTATATACCCAAAGGATGCTCAATCATACCACAAGGAAAATGTATTTTTTTTTAAATTAAGTGTTGAATGATATGGGCACATTGATACATTTTTACTGTGCTTTAAATTTCCTTTGTGTAGTATCCCCTAAAAATTATGCTGAGGTTTTCCACCTAATGTTAAAATTAACACATTTACATTCTTAAAATTTTATTAATTTTATATGTTTAAAATGTATAGATTATGTGGTCAAAGAAAAGCTATAATGTTATAAATTGTAGCATGGAAAAACAGGAATCAGGAGATTGACAAATATATATACCTATGCATAGAAGACTATGCCTCTTTGATCAGAATTTAGCTCTGTGGATATAGGGATAATGTTTAGAATGTTCTTAGGAGTTACAAATGAACCTGGTCTATCAACGTGGTGGTAGTAGATTCTCTTCTAAAATCCATGACCTCACTAGTCCCTGGTAGTTAGATACATTTCTAACACTGGGCATGGTTTCCCACCTGTTGAGTGGGCTACAAGTCTAACCAGACAAAGAGTTGCAAAGAGTTGACAAAGCCTGAGGGATAGAATGGAGTGTTAGGAAATGACTACATTCCTCTGGCTGTGACATAAACATCAGACATCAGGAGGTAGATAAAGTTATAGACCTATCTTCTTTCCTCCTACAGACCATCTCTGCATAGCTTTGGGGATTGTCTGATGGACTATATAAGTGGTAGAAAAATTAAGTGAACGTAGGATCTAGTGAGGCAGCCGTCTTCAGTTGGCACACAGACTGTGGTGGGATTTCTCAGAGATGCGGCTGTCTTTGATTCAACCACCTTCCTGTAAGTACTCTTACTTATGTTCCTCAAAGCCTAATTCATCATTTTACAATCATATACATAGTCTCTCGTATAGAATACTTTTTTTTTTGATTTTTTGAGACAGGGTTTCTCTGTGGCTTTGGAGCCTGTCCTGGAACTAGCTCTTGTAGACCAGGCTGACCTCAAAGTCACAGAGATCCGCCTGCCTCTGCCTCCCGAGTGCTGGGATTAAAGGCGTGCGCCACCACTGCCCAGCATCATATAGAACACTTTCTTTGCTCTTGTGAAGTTTTTCCCACATTCTGATTTTTGCAGCATAAGAAAATTGTGCAGAATATTTAGATGAGTGCTTCTTAAGAATGTTAACCTTTAAACAAAAACTGTAGAAAGCATGATTTCTGATTGAAGTGAGGAGAAAAGGTGAGAGGGTGACTGACTTCTAGTGTGTAGAAATTAGAGAAATGTGCACACATCCTCCAATACACAGGACAGCTCCAGAACAAGAAAGGATCTATCTAAGCGTTGTTGTGTTGCTAAAATTGAGAACTGATGCTGGAATGAGGACCTCCGATGCCTAGGCTTCTAATTTGTCACAATCACGCAGCTGACACTTTCAGGTTCCAAGGCACCATGAACTGCTGGGCTTGAGCCACCCTAATGAATCTTCCAGTACTCAGCTAAAGCAGACAGTGCTCACAGATATGTGTCTTACTGGGCTTTGAGAATTTGTCTCAATCCTAATTAATTTGTAAATAAAAATATGTGCTATAGTTGTTAGCTATTAGCCTTTACATTCTTGATAAGTTTTTTCAGGAAAATGAATTAATGACAATTATGGGATACATTTTAAGAAATGTGAAAAAGTACTTAGTTAGTCCTTGTAATTCTCTCTAATGATTAATAGTAGGAGTGTGTGTGTGTGTGTGTGTGTGCGATCATCAAGTGTCAAACTCAGGAGAAAGCACCATGTCTTTGAAAAATTAAAGGCACTGTGAATTCTAAAAATAGTATTTAAACTTATATATAATATATTGTTTAGTTAACTTATACACTGCATAACTTGTGATATATTTAGTTATTTGGCTATTTGAAAGTAGGTATTTCCAACACATAAATCTTTTAGTAATTCATTAGTTTAATCTTGAATACTCCAAGCTACATTTATAAAAGTCTCCATAAAATTTAGTTCCTGAACGCTTGCAATTTGTTTCATCTTTTTATTTTCATGGATATGTGTAGTATGTGCATTTGAAGGTATTCGTTGTTGTGTGTGCATGCCACAAAGAATGAAGGTTTCAATAGAGGGAATCACTTTTCATAGTTCTTCGATCTTAGTTGTAGAGTCAGGATCTCTCAATGAAATGTAAAGGTTACCATTGTAACTAGTCATGCTATCAAGCTTGGGCTATGTATTACAAGTCCCCACTCCTGGAGGCAATATTATAGGCAAACTGGAATACCACACAGTTGGGGCACTCAATTGGAATCTGGTAATTTAAATTTCTGTTTTCATGCTTTTGTGGCAAGCACTTTAACCTTGAAGACAACCCCCAGCCCAAGACTCACACTTCAATATAGGAAAACACTTTGTTGTAGTATTGTTGAAGTTAAAAGCTCCTTTTCATAGCGGCAGTTGATTTTTCTTCCCTCTTAAATTAACAAACTACTGACTTTTATAGGTCCATGTCCGTCAAAAGCACATTGATAATGACCCCAGCATATATCATTGTCACAAATTTTAAAGTTGGGTGTTGTCATAGCAGATGTCCTAAAACCTCTCTTATCATGCCATCTAGGGCCAATTGTTGACAAATTTCCATAGTAGCAGATTCATCTTTTCCTCATTTTAGCTCAAATATACCACACTGCTCAAAAGAGGACACTAGGACTATAAAAAGCTTAGCTATACAGGATGACTCTTGTTACTTCACATGAAAACATTGTCTCTGTGATTTCATTCCTTATTGCAGGGGCCCTATTGCTGCTGCCGCTGCTCGTGTGGGAGAATGTGGCTTCTGTACCCAGGTGTCTCATGAAAGATGGCGGCTGCCAGAAGGTCCTCGGCTATATGTTTAACAGGACAAGCACCACATCTGAGACCATCAATCGCCTCTCTTTGGAAACATTAAATGAATTTGTAAGTCCTTCACTTACTTTAGACTCTTTCATAAAAAGGTCCCAATGTCAGTAACTAAAATAAACAGAAGTTTAAATGAGAAAACATGGACCAAAATTCAAATAACACACAACAAAGCAGCAGTCACTAGAATAGGGAGAGGGGTGAGAGCTTCATAAAATCACTGAATTTGGAGAGAAAATTGAAAATGTTTTAAAATACTTTCAAAAGCATTTTTAAAAGATTTTTCTGTAATGTATTTTTTTTTAATTTCTACTCTTGGCCTGAAGCCAAAAAAGGAATGGCTGAAAGGGGGCTCTGATTTTCTGTTCTTGGGTGTTCTGCAAAGTCCCCACTGACATTCTTCGCTTAGCATACTGTAGATATACAATAAAGGAGAATCAAATTGGAAGAATACCTTGAACTGGAAAGAATTAAAATGACTGAAACAATGTCAGGAGGCAGACAATGCAACAATAATAGTAATAGTAAATAGCTTTTCAAAGCCCCCAAATCTGGGAGCCATTGTTTATAGAATTTGAGAACATGAGCTTACAAAATGAGAGCTGGGTTAGAACCATCAACAGGCTTTCTCTTCCTGATGCATGTACTTTTTTTGCATTTTTTAATTTTTTTTAAATATAATTTTTTATTGAAAAAAAATTTCCGCCTCCTCCCCGCCTCCCATTTCCCTCCCCGTCTCCCTTTTCCCTCCTCCCCCCCCCCCCCCCCCCCCCCCCCCCCCCCCCCCCCCCCCCCCCCCCCCCCCCCCGGGGTTCCCTGCCCTGTGGAAAGTCCAAAGTCCTCCCCGCTCCATCCTGGTCCAGGAAGGTGAACATCCAAACTGGCTAGGCTCCCACAAAGCCAGAACATGAAGTAGGATCAAAACCCAGTGGCATTGTCCTTGCCTTCTCAGCAGCCCTCATTGTCCGCCATATTCAGAGAGTCCGGTTTTATCCCATGCTTTTTCAGTTGCAGTCCAGCTGGCCTTGGTGAGCTCACAATAGATCAGCCCCACTGTCTCCGTGGGTGGGTGCACCCCTCGTGGTCCTGACTTCTTTGCTCATATTTTCCCTCCTTCTGCTCCTCCTTGGGACATTGGGAGCTCAGTCCGGTGCTCCAGTGTGGGTCTCTGTCTCTATCTCCATCCATCTCCAGATGAAGGTTCTATGGTGATATGCAAGATATTCATCAGTATGACTATAGGATAGGGTCATTTCAGGTTCTCTGACCTCTATAAATGGAGAAAACAAAATTTTCCAAGATAAAAACAAATTTAAACAATACGTAGCCACTAATCCAGCCTTACAGAAAGTAATAGAAGGAAAATCTCTAACCAAGGAGTCCAACAATGACCACAATAACTCAGACATCTAGAGACCCTTCACCAGCACAACTCTAAGGAGGGAAACACACAAACTCTACTACTAAAAAAGTGACCAGAGTTAACAACCACTGGTCATTAATATCACTTAATGTCAATGGACTCAACTCACCTATAAAAAGGCACAGGCTAAGAGATTGGATACGAAAACAGGATCCAACATTCTGCTGATGCATGTACTTTAAAGGCTGGATCTTATCTGCTCTAAGTCCACCCAGGAGGCAAACATAGATGAGGGCTTCAACGTCAATGACTATGAGCACAAGGCTACCATGTGCACAATAAACATTTATTAATACTGTCCTCTGAGATAACTGTTTGATTTTTTTCAATCTCCATTTCCTGACTGGCAACCTTTCATATTAACATCTGTAACAACTCACAAAACATTCATAATTTTGCTGATTACCAAATTTAAATAATAAATATAGTAGTAAAAATATATTGGATCATATACTATTTAAATATTAATTAAATTTAACATGTTCATGATATATAGCTCCAGTGCTAAAAGAAAATATATGTAATTATATAATGTGCAATTTAAAAAAATGTGTCAGTGTGCTCCAAAAGGAATCAAGAGATTGAAGACACATATGTACTGAGCATTAAGCTGTAACCCTAGAAAAAATCATCATTACAATATAGTGTTTTGTAGATTTGGTGTTTTAGTGCTTCCTTTGCAAATAGCAACTTTTAGGCAAGTGAGAAATCAGAGCTGTAAAGTTGTGAGCCATGGGAAGCTAATAGGGTAGATGTGAAAATTAAATTAGGTTACATCTCCAATAGAAAGAAGTAAATATACAAAGGGTCTCTTTTTTAATTTCTTAATTTGAGATTTAATGTACTCTTCATATCTCAGCATGGGTAAGGGAAATTTCTCAAGGCCCCACCCCTACATAAAGAATTACAAGCAAACAATGGACCTCAAACAGATGGAGAACAAGTGTTCTTCAAGGAGAAGCCCCTTCAGACATTGTCCAATCACAAATGCATGTACATATGAGCAACACTAAACTGACTGAGCGGGTCTTACTTATGTACACATATGTATATTTGTTCCTGTACATGTGTAACAATAATAACCAAGAGAGCAGAAAGTCAAAAGGGAGTGAGGATCTAGGAAGATTTGCAGGGAGGAGAGTGTGGGGGTGAAAATTATTTAAATACAGTACTCGTCATTGAAATTCTCCAAAAACTAATTAAATGGTTTTTTTTAGCAGACACAGAAAATGCATTAATAATCACTACTCTGCCCATGAGTTCATTTACTCCATTCCAAAGCTCCAACTAACTGATTTTTTCATCCTTTCCAGGATGCACAGTATGACCCAGGCCAGAAGTTCCAGAACAAGCCCACCATGACCTGCCACACTGCATCCCACTCCATCCCAAGCAGCAAAATGAAAGCTCAAAGAATGCAGGTGAGTCCACACCCTGCTACCTGAAAACAGGCACCATTTAGTCACAGTAACCACACCTTCAGGAATGTGAAAAAAAAGATGAGCATACTACACAGATGATAAAGTATATGCAAAATAAAATTGAGAGCAATTTTCAAGTAATAAATTGTTCATAAAATTGTTCTTATTTTAATCACAGCCTTACCATTGGCATTGAACCTATTATTATGTAAGAGACTTTGAATTGATTTGAAGTTTCATGGTTAAATTTCCTCTCACATGCAGGCATAAGAAAGCAAGAAGAGTTGCAATTTCTCTAATTACTAAAATGCTTCTTTGGGAATCATTGAACGCTACTGACCATGGCATCAACTCTTTTTGACTTGCTGTATTTCTGCTCTTCTGTCTATTTCTTCACTCTTCTCTGACACCACTATCTAGGGCCCAGTAACATCCTATTCATACTTCATGAGGTACAAATATGGCCTATCATAACTAGGCAGGTAGTACCACTGTGTTTTTACTAAAGTCTACTTATCTAATGACCTGCCCATGACTTAAAATAACTACCATCATATATGTCCAACTGGCACACCAATAACCTGTTCTTAACGATTTGCTGGAACCTTCATTCTGTATATATGCTATGCACAACAGCAACTGTAAAACATAAGAAAAAGTGAATGAAGAGAGATGCTAAGAGCTACTCTATGGCTACATAATTCCCAAAGCATTGTATCAATATTGCTTCAATTAATTATCAAAAAAATCACAAGATATAAAGACTACACGAGTAGTCTTACCACATGCAATTTAACCTACAGTGGTACCATTATGTGATGCTTGATTGGTTTTTTTCTTAGCCTATGACCCTTCTGAATGTGACCATCAGCATGCTGGCTGCCTGGAAAAATCTTCTGTACCATGTAGAAAACAATATGGCTGATCTTGATGGAACTCCATATGCTACCATATCAAAAGTTACCTTGATTGATAGGCAAATCAAAAGACTCACAAAAAATCTGCAGGACATTAAGACTATACTCAGCCAGGTGAGTCATCTCATTCAACTCTCTTGCTTTCACTCATTAGTCATGAAAACTATAACATCTGTAATGAAAACTGAACTTTAGATGAATTCTCCATCTGCCACAGGGAAATTTAGGCAGGTAATAGCATAGACGGTCTTGGAACTAACGGGTAAGTTGCACTTCAAACTTCTCAAAAGTACTTTCTTTAGTACCCAACAACACAGGGACCTCAATTAATGTTAATGATTTCAGGAAGCAATTGGGGGCAGAGTAAAATATCCCAACCATTTCAGCACATCTTCCCATACAAATCATCCCTAAACTGAAAGTATTTTAGGCCCCATCATTTTTGTGGCTTCATGTCCATGATTCATGGAAAATAGATATTGTTGAAGGAAGAAAAGGGAAATTGTCTCCTAAGAAAAGTAATAAAATACAAATGGCACATGAGAGGTAGCACTGAGAATATGGAAAATTTTCTCACATGACAATTGACTCTAGATTCTCCATCGTCCTTTGGTCAAAAGCGTGTCAATAGCCAAGCAGCTCCTGTGCTGATATACTTCACTGGAGATCAACTACACTACAAAAAATATATGCATGGTTCTTCTGTCTAGTTTTTAGATAAATAACAAACTTATGGCTCCCTTGTCCACATACATGAAACATATTTTTGGCTTAAGATTTACCTTTCTACTTTTCCTCCAAATATTATTCAATATTTAAAATAATGAGGACTAACAAATATTAATAATGTAAATAATAACTGATTGACTATTATTTTGTGATTAGGTTCATCCTGAACTTAAGAAAAATGAGACCTACACTGCCTGGTCAGGAGAGCCATATCTACAGCAATCCCAAAGAGGAATCCAACTTTTTGGTCTACATAGCTTGTTTGTATGCCTGAACAGAGACACACAAAAGGTGTCTGATTATGTCAATATCCTGAGACACCAAATTGTTCGTGATGAATGAAAGGCTTCCAGTCTTCTTGTTTATTTCTGAGACAGTTCATAATGATCTAATCCTTAAAAGATTCTTTTGTTGTGGGATAATGGTCTTGTACCCTGTAATGATTTGTTACTTGTATTGGTTTAATAAAATACAGATTGGCCTGTAGCCAGGCAGGAAGTGTAGGCAAAGCAACCAGAATAGGAGAATTCTGGGAAGAGGTTACCTCACCAATACTTTAGCAATGTCAATATCTAACAAAATCAATATTTTATAATTTCTTTGTTCATTTAATAATAAGAAGAAATGAAAACTATTAAAATTTGTCACAAAATGTGTTTTTCTTAGGAATAAGACATAACACAATTTCACTTAGAATCACAATGGTTTAATGTGAACCAAGTTATTAGAATCAAGGAATGAAATTATGATCCTACCAAGGACATTGAAATCTCAGACATTTTATGAAAACAAGCTTTGACAATGAACCAATTTTTCACAGAAAAATAACCAAAAAATGCATATATTATACACTTTACTATCTCTAAGTCACAAACAAAAGGTAAAAACAAAGAAAACTTCTACTGGATTGGCTTAACTATAGGGTACAAATTTGGAGCACAGAATTGGAATCCATGAGATCAATATAAATTATTCAACTAGTCAATTAAAATAGCATGACTAAAAAGAATAAATTGCTGCAGACTGAACTGTCTGACAAGAGAAAGAGTGACAGAGCCACCATTGTGTTCCAAAAAGAAGAAAAAGAATGTTGTTGCCTGTCCCCTCATAGATGGGAAAGCTGAAAGCATTTTAGCTTTGGTGGAATACAAAACCTTAGAGATAGAAAGTTTGTTACAACTCCAGTTAGAGTAAACCCAGAAGTGTCTACTCTGACATTCAACACAGCCAAATTTCACAAAAGACAATTTTAAAAAAATTATTTAAAGAAGACATGAGGGAATGTTGCCTTACCTACAGGGGCACAAGGAATTCAAATGTCAGAGATTTTTTTTCTAAATCTGTGGCACCTATAATTAATTAAGTAATACATACTAAAAGAAAATGTCTATTATGAATATTATGCCTAAAGAGACTATCATTCTGAAATGGGATAAATAAACAATTTCAAAAAAAAGACGAATTTGTGGGTAGAGAATTCTCTTTGGTAGTATTGGAAGTAACTGAAAGGACTCGTTCATGCTAGGACATCACTATGGAATTCAATGGTTTGTACAGTCAGCTGTCCTATTCTTAACTACTGGTCAAAGAAACAATAAGAAAAATTTTATCCACAAAGAAAAAATAGATTTTTACAGTATTCTACCAGATATTCGAGAAATAATGAAAACCAATGTTTCTCAAATTACTTCATAAAACAGAAAAGGAATAAACACTACAAAACTTGTTCTATAAAACCAGTATTACCCTACTTTGAAAGTATCTAATAAACATATAGGAAAAAATAAAAATATAACTGCAAATAAAATTCAAAAGCGTATTGGATAGACCATTGAGCATGACAAGTTATTCTCATTTTAGGAATACAAGGATGATTGCTGGTAAAAATATAGTATGCTAGTAAAGAAAATTATAGTATGCAAATTAAGTAGACCTAAGGACAGAAACCTGATCATTGTCTTAATACATATAGAAAATCATATTCACAAAATATAGAATGGCTTCATGATACAAGTCCTGAAGAAACTCGAAGTGATATAACTGAAGCTTAAAGAGACAACAGATAAACTACTTTGAGATTTCATCTTACCCTATTCAGAATGGCCAAGGTCAATGAAACAAATGGCAGTACCTGCTGTCAAGGATGCAGGGAAAGGTGAGCACTTACTCATTACCGGTGAAAATCTGAAAACACTAAATGAATAACTGGAGGCTGTAGACAGAAGTTTCTGTCCTGCCCAGTTCCACAGCCATTCAGTCCCCCACCCAAAAAAAAACACACAGAGGCTTATAATAATTTTAAATTGCTTGACCTATTAGTTCAGGCTTATTACTAACTAGCTCTTATAACTTAAATTAACCCATAATTCTTATCTATGTTTAGCCACATGTCTTGGTACCTTTTCTCTGTACAACATTTTCACCTTGCTTCCTCTGCATCTGGGTGGTGACTGCAAACTGAGCCTTCCCTCTTCCCAGAATTCTTAGTCTAGCTTCCCCACTTATATATACTTCCTGCCTGGCTACTGGCCAATCATCATTTTATTAAATCAATATGAGTGACTAATCTTTATCACATGGGGGAGGGGGTAGAAGATGGAAGAAACTTCCCAGTTGACTAATTAATAGAATTAGCCTTTTGCAAATGGATACATTATCAAAAACTAGAGATTCAAAGGAATACTCATCAAAATCCCAATCCTATGTTTCGATAACAAAACTCTGAAGTTAACATGGAACAGAAAAGACTCAGAAGAATGGAAGTAATCCTGCACAAAATGAGCAAAGCTGAAGTTGATTTCATGCTTGCTGTATTGGTTTGAATAGGAATGCTCCCCATAGATTCATGTATTTGATTGCTTATACCATAGGGAAAGGCACTATCCTAATAATGGCCTTGGCAGAAGTGCGTGGGGGCAGGCTTTGAGGCTTAATATATGCTCAAGCTAGGCCTGGAGACATAGTTGCTTGTGCTGCCTGTGGATCAATATGAAGAACTCTCCGCATCCTCTCCAGTACCATGTCTGCCTGCATACTAACATGTCCCACCATGATGATAATGGACTAAATATCCGAAATTGCAAGCTATTCCAATTAAATGTTTTCCTTTATAAAAGTTGCCACAGTTATGGTGTCTCTTCACAGCAATAAAACCCTGAGACACTTGGTTTCTATTAAAATTACACCACCACAATAATAAAAACAGCATGTTATTGACACATTAACAGACACAGACCAATGGAACAAGATAGAGAAGTCTAGAAATAAATCCATGTAGCTACAGTCCCCTGATTTTGCCAAAGTTTCTGATTTGCTTTTTTTTTGTTATTTAATATTATTATGTTGTTGCTGCTGCTACTTCTGTCCTTTTTACTAATGTGATATAAGCTATAGTTGTGTGGTAAGGAGAACCTCATGTGAGAAAATGCCTTCATCAGATTGCCTGTTGGCAAGTCTGTAGTGTACTTTCTTCATTAATGATTGGCGTGAGTGCGGCAATCCCACACTGGGGACAATGCCACCCCTAAACAAGTGGCCATGAGTTGTACAAGAAGGCAGGTTGAGCATGCCATGGAGTGAAAGCCAGTTTCTCCACAACCTCTGCTTCACTTCTTGTTTCTAGGCTTGAATTCCTGCCCTGTAAAGTCCTTCAGTGATGTGGTGTGGAACTGTAAGCAGCATTAAATATTTTCCTTCCTAAGGTGCCTTTGGACAAAGTGTTTAAGTACAACAATATAACCCAAATGAAGAAAGGTTCCCAGTACATACCTTAGAAGAAAGATGTTCTTCATCAAACATTGCTCAGAAGTCTAGACATCCACACTTACAGTGTAACTTCATTCCTGTTTCTAACCTTGAACAGAATAATTCTGTCGTGGGTTATTTTGATTGTGTTCTGACAAATAAAGCTTGCTTGGAGTCAGAGGGTGGAGTCGAACAAAATTAACCACAGAGGTTTGGGAGGACTGTAGATAGATAGGACAGAAAGTAGTAAGGTGGAGCAGAGAGGGAGCTAGGCCCTTTTGGAGGAAGGAATGGAGCAAGTAGGAGAAAACTCATGGCTTCTCTGCCTCTGTGATCCTTCAGGTTCTTCCCCAAATATCTAACTCCTGAATTTTTATTTATAAGGAATAATCAGAATAATGCTTCAAAATTCCATGTGAGACTCAAATGTTAATTTGGACCTGGAATTCTGAAGCTGCTGGAAGGAAGCATTGGGAAAACCTTTCATGACACTGGTATAGACAAGAACTTCCTCACAAGGACCCTAACAGAAAGTTCAACAGACTCTGGGAAGGATATACATGGACACCAACATACACTGCATCTGGAAATGTAAAACAGGGTAGCTATAACGGAAATCAGAATGTGAGGTCCTCAAACAACTTACACCTCCCATATAATCCAGCTATACCACTCCTCTAAACTACAGAAATAAACTGATCAGCATAGTGCAGAAACACTGAACACTCATGCTGCCTGCCATACTATTCAGGATTAAGATAAGAACAAGCCTGGGTGTCCAACAGTAAATAGACACATAAAGGGAAATGTGGCACGGAGCTGGAGAGATGTCTTGAGAGCTAAGATCAATTGTTGCTTCTCTAGAGGACTTGGCTCATGTTTGGTTCCCAGTATTCATGTTTCCTGCTCTGACTTTGCTTTAGTGATAGACTGTGGTATGGTACTATATGGAACTATAAACTTCAATAAATGCTTTCCTGTCCCTGGTATTTTTAGGCATAATATTTAAGCCTAGCAATATAAACCCTAACTAAGACAGGTTAATAGCCACTCTTCCTGGTAAGCCCAGAACCAGGGAATCTGGTGACCTCTTCTGCCATCCTCAGGCACCAGGTGTGCATGAGTGTACCTCCATATATGCAGGCAAAATACTCATACACAAAATAAAATAAATCCCAAAATGCTTTTTAAAGAATATATATGTACATGTGGAATTTTACTCAGCCATTTAAAGAATGAAAGCTTTATTTTCTACAGGAATACAGATGGAATTGGTTTAACAAAAGAAATGGACTTCACAAAGAAAACATACCTCATATTTTCTGTCATATGTAAAGAACCTGGGACATAAAAGCCATATGCTTGTTGAAAAAAAAAGCCAATGCCATTATTATTACTGTCAGATTTTTAGCAGGAAGACTCGGAGGTCCTGCCTAGGGAAAGACTAGTCCCACCACTGGGAAGTGTGCTGCAAAACCACATGGTAAGAACCGAATGATAAACATACTATATGCTATGCTTTCAGATATAGAAAACTAAGTCTGGCCTGAGCAAATATCTCTCTCAGTGTGATGTGGGGTTTGACAGTGCCAATCACACTACGCTGGATATACCAATAGACCTGTTTAGTGGCATCTTATCACAATCACAAAGCCAGGCAAAATGTAACCAGGGGCACAATAGTGACACAATTCTTTTGGGTACAACCAACTTCTCTGTGCTTCGATGTAAACCCTGTTCTTTGTGGAGTACCCAGCAACCAGGCCAAAACTCTGTGGTATTTAGAAACAGATCTGATGTGCCCATCAGCATTCTCAAATAATTTTAGGCATATAGTTTGCTGATGTCATTAGCCTAGGTTTCAAAGACAAACTGTATGGTGATTGGGGATTCTGATGAGAGACCTATCCCCATTCCGCTACTGAGAATAAGTGAGCGAGGTTGTAGTATGGTAATAAAATCATTTTAAAATCATTTCAATGACAAAAACATCTGTCATTTCAGTGGTTCAGAAAACAGGGCAAAGAGTTATCAAAACTGTGGGAAAGACTGAAGAAATGGCTGAATTTAGGAAAGAATTATATTGCTTTGGATGTGACACTACCATCATCATTAGGAATAAGAAGTGACTTGTTCACATACGGCGTTACTTGGAGCCATGCCAAGGGGCAATCGAGACGTAGCTAGGAGTGTGGTGATGGCAATGAGGCTATCGACCTTTCCTGGGTAGGTAGAGTCACAGGAACTTTACCTAGAATTTTAGAACTTAACTCCTGTATACAGAGAGGTGTACTGTGTTATAGAAGTGGAGATTTAACTGAATACAGGGATCTAGCGAAGCAGGAATCCTGGCTTGATATCTACGCTGTTTGTGAGTTTTTTCAGATATGCAGCTCTCCTCAACTCAACTATCTTCTTGTAAGTAATCCTTCCCTCTAGGTATTTAATCTACTCCGTGCATAAAGTTATTCATCTATGCTTGGGTAGAATGGTATGCTGTTGTCACCCAGCCTTTAGAAGAACTTCTAGCTCTATTGCCTGGTTTTGTGAATCAACTTGACACAAGCAAGCGTCATCAGAGACGCTTCAAATCAATCAAAGAAATGTCTCTATGAGATCCAGCTGTAAGGCATTTTCTCAATTAGTGATCAATGGGAGAGGGTCCAGCCCAAAGTAGGTGGTGTCATCCCTGGGCTAGTTGTCCTGGGTTCTATAAGAAGGCAGACTGAGCAATCCAGGGAAAGCAATCCAGTAAGCATCACCCCTC